TTTTTCTAACTAGGACATTAAAATATGAAAAGGAACTCATAAGTTTAGTCTTCAACATAGAGAATGTGTACTTTCTTCCTAGGCCTAGTCCTCTTGAGTCTGGACTATAAAGAATATACATAGTGGTGTGCTGCTAATGTCTAACAATTGTTTCTTCAGATAGGAGACCTAGTGGCAAAGTGGTTAAGTGCTAGGCTGCTAACTGAAAGGTCAGTAGTTTAAGTCCACCATGGGAGAAAGATGTGGCAGTCTGCTTCCATAAAGATTACAGTTTTCCAAGACCTACAGGGTAGTTCTAATCTATTTATAGGGTTGCTGTACTTTGGACATGTTGTCAGGAGGGAACAGTCGCTATAGAAGGATGTCATGCTGGGTAAGATGGAGGGTCAGAGAAGAAGAGGAAGATCGCCAGCAAGATGGATCGGCCAGGTGGCATCATTGATGGCGTCAAGTGTGGCAGCGGTAGTGAGGTTGGCCCAGGATCAGACATTGTTTCGTTCTGCTGTGCATGGGGTCGCTGTGAGTCAGTTCCAACTCAATGTCACCTGACAACAATAACAATGAGTTGTAATCTACTCGATGGCAACAGGTTTGTGTTTGGTTGGCTCTTTTAGAAAAGAAGAAAAAAAAACCCTGATCTGTAGTATTTTTCCATAGTATTATATTACCCATGTGCCTGACTTCAGGTTAACATGATGGTGGGTAAAGATGCACAATCATTACTTGGGAGCTAGCTCTAGCATATCACTAAATAGAGGTTTTTGGAGGTTGAACTCTCCCCAGATCACTACTGCTTGGATACAGGCTGACAGGTAGAAAGGCACTTTTGTACAGAGACATGCATGGAAAGTGAGTAAGCTACATTTTCTTTCAGGGACTTCTGGGATGGGTAAGAGTGAGGAGTGAGGGTTGGGACCATGGCAGGTCTTGGCTATGCCTAGGACTTCATTTATTGTTAGGATTAGGGTTAGTGTTAGAAATGAGGGGTGGGCTAGGGCTGGGAGTAAGACTTGGTCTAGTTTTTAGGGTTACAGTTAGGTGTTTTTTGTTTTTTTCTGGAAATCTATTTGATTTCCGCTTTATTTGGAAGTCCTGTACTTGGATTATACCTTCTCTTTATGGTTTTGTTGTTGTTGCAACTGCATCTCTGGTTCTCTCTTCAGTCTTATAAGTCTGTATTACTTTACATACTTCTATATCTGTGTTGGAGGATACAATCAAGATAGTGGATCAGGTAGATGTGCAGTGAGGAGCTCTGTCACCAACAACACAGAATACCAGGCCAAGCAGGCTCAGGGGATGGTCCTATAACTCTAAACAACATACAAAGGAATATTTAGAAGATTGGAAGGCTTACAGCTAGGGGAATCTGTAGCAGAAGCAAGAAATCCATTGCTTTCTAATTGAAGACACTCAGCTATTCCCGGAGCCACCATCTTGGGAGAGATCAACTGGGGGAAGGATTAGAACAGCCATGAATGCCTGACAGAACCGCGGAGATACAGGTGTGGACATTCATTTTTTGGTATCTGTTCATTGGTCTCTCGCTGTCTGCACACCTCCATTCTGGTGACTAGAGGGGATGCCTGAGCAAATGGATATCCCACCCCACCCCTGGAGGGTTCTGCTACACGTGCACACAGATCTCCTCGAAATTTAAAGTGACAGTTTCCACTTAAAACCAAACGGTCACCACTTGCCTGTCATTTTGTTGTACTGTGGTGGTTTCTGAGTGGCTATGATTCTAAAAGTTATGTCACCGGTATTTTAAATAACCAGCAGGGTCACCCATGGTGGTCAAGTTTCAGATGAGCTTCCAGACAAAGACAGACTAGGAAGAAAGAGTGACACACTACTTCCGAATCTTTAGTCACTTATGAAAAGCAGATATAGTGCTGGAAAATGAGCCCCGCAGGTTAGAAGGCACTCAAAATGTGACTGGGGAAGAGCTGCCTCCTCAAAGTAGAGTTGACTGTGATAACGCAAATGGAATAAAGCTCGTGCGAGAAAAGCCCGCAGGACCTTCATTTGATGATGGGGTACAACTCAAAATGAAGAGAAACAGCTGTAAACATCCACTGGAAATCAGAACATGGAATGTACGAAGTATGAATCCGGGAAAATTGGAAGTTGTAAAAAATGAAATGGAACACATAAACATCGCTATCTTAGGCATTAGTGAGCTGAAATGGGCTGGTATTGGCCATTTTGAATCTGACAGCCACATGGTTTACTATGTCAGGAATGACAAATTGAAGAGGAATGGTGTTGCGTTCATCGTCAAAAAGAACATATCTAGATCAGTCATGAGGTACAATGCTGTCTGTGGTAGGATAATATCCATGCGCCTACAGGGAAGCCCATTCTTCTTGGATCAACTATCAACACTCACGGAAGTAGCAGTCAAGAGATCAAATGACATTAAGCAAATCTGCTGCACAAGACCTTTTTAAAGTGTTGAAGAGCAAAGACTTCACCTTGAGGACTAAGGTGCACCTGACCCAAACTATGGTGTTTCCAATAACCTCATATGCATGAGAAAGCTGGACAGTAAATAAGGAAGACTGCAAAAGAATTAATGCCTTTAAGTTATAGTGTTGGAGGAGAATACTGAAAGTGCATGGGCTGCTAAAAGAACCAATAGATCTGTTTTGGAAGAAGTGTAGCCAAAGTGCTCCTTAGAGGCCAAGATGGCCAAACTTCATCTCTTATACTTTGGACATATTGTCAGGAGGAAACAGTTGCTGGAGAAGGATATCATGTTTGGTAAGATGGAGGGTCAGAGAAAAAGAGGAATACTCCCAAAGAGATAGATTGGCCAAGTGGCAGCATCGATGGACTCAAGCATGGCAACACTAGTGAGGTTGACCCAGGATCAGGTGGTGTTTCGTTCTGCTGTGCATAGGGTCGCTATGGGTTGGTACCGAGTCGATGGCACCTAACAACAACAACAACATATCTGTGTTGAGTTAGGTGGTATTATAATGTATGCTAGTCTCAGGTTTTTGTCAGCTATTGTCGGTTCTCTGTCTGAAGAACTTAATTTCTTTTTTAAGGTTGGTCTGGTTTTTACAAAGGCTTTGAATTTCTGTTTGTCTGAAAAATGACCTAATTTCACCATCACATTTGATGGACAGTTTTGCTGAATATATGAATCTTGGTTGGCAATTTTTTTTTCCTTTCAGAGTTTTATATATATATTATTCCACTGTCCTCTTGTATGCATGGGTTTGGCTGAGAAATCAGAGTTTAGTCTTATTAGTTTTCCTTTGTAGGTAACATTTTGTTTTTCTTGAGCTGCTCTCAAGATTCGTTCCTTGGCTTTGGTTTTGAAATATTTGATTATGTCTTGATGCTTTTCTTTTGGTGTCTATCCTGTTTGGAGTCGGTTCAACTTCTCAAATGGCTATCTTTTCAACTTTTATGATGCTAGGGGAGTTTTCTTCCAAAAAATCTTGGAAATATTTGCTATGTTTTTTGGTTTTTAAAAAAATGTCTTGCTGTTCTGGAATTCCTATCACACATAAGTTATTCCTCTTGATAGTGTCCCATATACATCTCAGTCCTTCTTTGGAATTTTTTTGGTTCTTTTCTCTGATTGTTCCATTAGCAGATGGTTATTAAGAGATTCTTCTTCAAGTTCAGTAATTTGTCTTTCCATCTATTTCTGAAGTCTTAGTGTTAATCTTCTGGCTTTCTAATGACTGATTTTGTATGGTTTCCTGTTTTCTTTTCATTTATTTTGTCAATTTTTTTCCTGATTTCCCCCCCCCCATAGTTTTGTCTATGTTTTCCTTGATTTTATGTGTACTTTTCTCTCAATCTATTGAAATTGCTTAATTAACATTTTTTAACATTCCTTATCAAGTAGTTCTAATACCACTTCTGGGGTCATATATTCTGATTCTTTATTTTGCTGACCTGTTTGAGGCACTCTTGTCTTGTCTCTTTGTGTAAGCTGAAATAGTTTTTTCCAAGACATTGTGGTATCAATTTATATTTAGTTGATGCTTGTACATTGGTGTATTCTCAAACACTCACCAACTGTCTCCTGGTGGATATGGTAGAGGGCAGAAGTGTGAATGCAGTTAGTTTCTCTACTGTTTGTGTAGCATAGTTCAGGAGGGGTTCATATGTTTCCAGAAGCTGGGGTGCTGTGCCAGGCACCCAACCCCAGTCAGAGCAGAGACTGCTAATGCAGGAGCATTACTGGCTGTTGGATTGGTGAGGGCAGGGACTGACCATGCTCCTGGCTACCAGGAGGGCACCTGAACAAGAGATAACTGCCCCCACTTGCTGCCAACTTCCAGCTTCATCCTGTGCCTGTAGGTTACTATATTAACAACTGCTTACAAAAGCACAAACTGACTGTATTGCTCCACACTAGGCCACAGTCCACCTTTTTTTTTTTTTTTTTTTCTCTCACTGCTCCTGTTCAGCTTCCTCTTCCAGTTGGCATTCAATCTACCTCCCTGCCCTCTCCTCTGATGCTGTGGGTTTCAGGTTTCACTTAGTCTCCTATATCATTGTTGTAGAGGACTGGTTCAGTGCATCTGTGTAAGCTATTATTTCATAAAGCTATTTTATTAGGTTTCTTTGTGTTATCTCTAAACCTTTGCCATTGTGTGGTTAAGATGTTGTTAACTGCCGTTAAGTCAGTTCTGACTCATAGTGACCCTGTAAAGGGTTTCTAAGGAGGGGTGATAACAGCATTCCATAAGGTGAAAATTCCCTAAGTAGAAGGCGACTCTAAGGAACAAGACGGGGGGCTGTGAGTCCTGTCTGCTCTCTCATGGGGATATTTCCCTCCATTGACAATCTTGGTAAATAAGATCTGATTTTAAAGAGATAATGCTAATTATCTAGAAAGTAAAATCATAATTTTAACATTAACAGATAGTAAGCTGGGCTCTATCTCTATTTATTTGGAGTACAACTTTTAACTGAACACTATTATTCTTTTTTGGAATATAAAAAATTACAGGGAAAATGTTACTTACTAAGGCTGTGGTTGGTGTCTCTTCCTCTTTCATAGATTCCTGAGATTTTTCTTTTTCAGGCACATCTTTTTCAGGTGGTTCTTGTTCCTGAGACAGGGAGGGCCAGGAGGCAATGCTTTCAAAATAGCAAAGTCTGAGATCAAACTTCTTAAAGGTAATTAAATATAACTAAGCTATTGAGAAGTAAGCAGAATTAAATATATACTGATCTTTTAACAAGGAATGTAGGTTGGAAGAAGAAGAAATAAATGAAAACTCTCAAGGAAATATGGGTAAACAAATATCAAAGACCAAGGAACTAGTAAAAATGCTTACTTTTTTGCTTTGGGACTGTGTTTGCCTTGACCCATCAAGGATGTGTTTCTCTTCCTTTATAATTAAGATCACTGAACTATTGTTTTACATCAAAGGTTGTTGTTGTTGGTGATTATGTGCCATGGAGTCGGTTCCAACTCATAGCGACCCTGTACAGGGTTTCCAAGGCTGTAAATCTTTATAGGAGTAGAAAGCCTCATCTTTCTCCCACAGAACAGCTGGTAGTTTCGAACTGCTGACCTTAAAGTTCACAGCCTGATTCGTATCCACTACACTACCAGAACTCCTTAAGGTTGGTAGGGTGTATAATAAATCTTGAACAAAATATGAAAAATTAGTACAAATAATTTCTAAAATAAGAGCAAAGTAAGTACCATTGTGCTCCATAGTATGGTGGCAAACTGACTTTTTAATGTGTGTGGAGAAAAAACTTAGTCAAAGAAATATATGTATATATATTTTTGGTGAGAAATAATTTAAATGGTAAAAGATAAAACAGCTATGTCTATTTTGATTGGTTACTGAAGTCGTCCTCCAAAATAGGAGGCAATGCTAAGTCACTAACGATTAGAAGAGCTTCTTTAACCTATACAACAGAAATTTAAGAATATAAATTCTAATCAAAGTCTTTAAAATTTGAAGGAAGGCGAGCATGGAACCTGTAATTGCTACATGGCACAAGGATTTAAAAATTTCAACATTATATCTTTGATTTCATTAAAATAGGTATATAAATAAAGTATGAACACAGGACCCAATTAAATGGAAATACACAGAACACTGTCATCTGGTAGGCACAAATGGATGAACTTCATTCCCAGGAATTTTCCAAAGTCTACCAGACTACACCATCAAAACTTGAACTTTTGTTAATTTCTTTTAATTCTAATACCTGTTGGTGCTTTGTGACTAGTAGTATTATTGCATAATCTAGAGTTGTAGTTGTGTTGTTAAGTGCTGTTAAGTTGGTTCTGACCCATAGTGACCACGTATAGAGTTTCTAAGGAGCAGTGGTGAGCTTGAACTGCCAACCGTGAGGTTCAAACCGACTTTGCAGTTTAGCACATTAACCCACAGCACCACACCAGGATTCCTAATCTAGAGTAGTGATTCTTAAACTTTATAAACCTACTTTGGAAATCTTGTTTAACGGAAACTTCTGATTAGTGAACCTAAGTGTTGTTGCTGTTAGGTGCCATAGATTTGTTTCTGACTCATAGAGATCCTATGTACAACAGAACACAACACTGCCTGGTCCAGTGTTATCCTCACAATCATTACTATGTTTGAGCCCAATGTTGCAGTTGATATGTCAATTCGTATCTTTGAGAGTCTTCCTCATATTTTGCATTTCTAGCAAGGCCCAAAGTGATGGTAATGACACTCATCCCATAAAGGCATTCTCTACCAGAGTTTCTCATCTGAACTCCGAAACACAGAAGATACTAAAGTGACTATTTTCTCAGTTTTCCCAAGGATGGTACATAACTAGCATCATTATAAATACAAAGGAGAAATACGGATTCCTTATATGTATTGGGTATCTGTGGCTTGGTGGTGGTGATGGTGGTGTGCTGTGGAGTCAGTTCAACTCGTAGCGACCCTGCATAGGGTTTCGAGGTTGTAAATCTTTATAGGAGCAGAAAACCTCATCTTTATCCCATGGAACGGCTGGTAGTTTTGAACTTCTGACTTTGAGGTTATTTCCCTGACTTGTAATCACTACACTCCCATAGCACCTTACCTGTGACTTAAGGCTTAATTATTTTAAGGAACTCTGGTTGTGAAAGGTTGCCTCTGAGAATGCTGCTAAATAGAAAGATTGATTCAGTCTCTCATGAGAGTAGCTTTTAAATGCTTAAAAATAAAATCATTCTGAATGATAAAAAAAAAGAGAGAGTAGCTTACCATTACCATCTTTAATTCTAATCCCTCTTTTGTAAAATGTCAATGATAAGGAATTAATTGGACTGATAGTTTTTACTTTAGAAATATCATTTATTAATCAAAAAATCTTTATAGTTTTTAATTTATGAAATATCGTTTGTTAATCCAAAAATATTTGAGTACCTATTATGTGATAAGCATGATGCTCACTAAATATTTGAAGAGTAAGTATCTGAGTAATTATTCTATATTTTTAAGTACTTTTTCTCATTGACCATTTTTATACTTGAGCTGAGAATCTGTACATACAATTCAGAATTTCTCATTAGAAAAAAATCAGTACAATTTAAAAGATTTTATAAGATATTTGTGATGCTTATTATAGTTTTCTCATTATTCTAATTAACTTCTCTTTTAGAGGCGGATAAGAAATGGCCATACCAGTATCTTCACATTACCTTGAATGCATGGTTGTTATAGAAGTGGTCATCTACCTTAGTACCCCATTCTGCTGGATCAAAGTTGGTTTCTGAATAATAAAAATACAAGAATTTTAGGCTAAGTTTGAATTTATTAAATATAGAATAGTAACACATGCAGTAGCATAGTGGGTTATGTGTTGGGCTGCTAACCATGAGGTAACTAGCTCAAGTTCATCAGCTCCTCTGTGGGAAAAAGATGAAGCTTTTTGTTTCCATAAAGATTTCAGCCTCAGAAACCCTCTACAGGGTCAAAATGAGTAAGGACTGATTCAATGGTACACAGCAGTGGCAACAGCAACAGCAGAACAGTAATATAAGTTTTCTTTTTCAAATAATAGGATGTTTAATACCAGTAGAAAAAACTTACTAACATTGTACATAGTCTAGCACTGCAGAAATAACCAATGATCATTAAATACGTATGATAATGTAGTACATATTGGAGGAACACTTGGAAATACTTAGAAAAGTGGCACACACACACACACACACAAAAGTAAATTTCTGCCTTTATAGAATTTGTAAGACATGGACGAGAACAAACACTAATTTTTAAATATGAAAACGCTTCAAATATTCATGGAAAGACGCCATTAGCTTTGAATTCCATTTTCCCCAAACTTTTAAAAGTCCCCTTGCATAAGTATCGAAACTTAAAAACATGTAGTAGTATACACATGGAAAGGTATAAAAATGCTAAGTAGTCAGGAAGTTTGGAAAGGTAAAAGATGGGAAAGCATTTTTAAAAGTTATATATACAGTTGGCATAAACTTTATATTTAAACATGTTATTAACTTTTCATTATGAAAAATGTCAAGCTTAGAAACTAAAAATAGTATAATGAACTCCATTGTGCACATTACTGAGATTCAATTAATTATCAGCTCATGATTTACCTTGTTTTATCTGTAGCCTCACTCATTTCCCCACCATTTATATGATTCTGTTCAAGTAACCCAGACATATTATTTTACCCACAAATATTCCTTTCAGTATTCATCTCAAAGATAAAGTCTTTAAAAAAACACTATTTTACTGTGTTTTTTTGGGGGGGGTTACACAGCAGTTTAGATTCCTTTTTAGCAATTTCTACACAAATTGTTCACTGACATTGGTTACATTCTTTACTTATAACCACTAGGCTAAGGTGCAGAGCTTATGAGTGATATACATTGTTTTTTGAGCCAAACTGTTATTTAGCTGCAAGGTGATGTCAGGGGTTAGTTTGGGTCAAGGTCTGAAAAGTATGTCTAAACAGTGTCAGGAGTTCTTCAGTCTCAACCCGTCCAGTAGACCTGTTTGTTTGTTTTTGTTTTTAGGAATTTGTACATTTTTTACTTATTCTACCAAGGTCCAATTGCAGCTAAGATTAGAATGGTAGTCAGGAACCATTTAGTTCTTTTGGCCTCTGGGTAGATAAGGTCATGGTTCATGTAGACTATTTGTCCTGTTGGCTAGTTTCTTCTTTGAGTCTTTCATTTCCTTATTTCACTTTTGCTCCACACAAGTAGAGACCTATCGGTGTATCTTAGATGCCCACTTATAATCTTTTATGACACCATACACTGCTCACCAATGCAGAACATAACTTTATGAACTATATTATACCAATTGATTGAGATATCATACAAGACTATGATCCTAATGCTTCAAACCCAGAACCCAGAAATCCAATTCCGCAAGATGGCTGGTCATAATCTAAGAGGTATCTACAACTATGCTCCCTATGTGCTTTATTATATGTATGAATATATGTACATATAGTCACATAGATGTGTACCAAAAGAATATGGAAGGAATACATAGAGTTTCTGTACCAAAAATAAATGGTCAATGTTCAACCATTTCAGGAAGTAGCATATGATCAAGAACCAATGGTACTGAAGGAAGAAATCCAAGCTGCACTGAAGGTATTGGTGAAAAAGAAGGCTCTAAGAACTTATGGAATACAAACTGAAACCTTTTAACAAACTAATGGAGGCACTAACTCACCTCTGCCAAGAAATCTGGAAGATAGCTATCTGGCCAACCAATTGGAAGAAATATATATTTCTGTCCATTCAAAAGAGAGGTGTCCCAAAGGAATGTGGAAAGTATCTGAGCAATATCATGAATATTACATGCAAGTAAAATTCTGTTGAAAATCATTCAAAAAATAGTTGCAATTCACCATAAAACATTTTTTTTTAAATGGAAAAAAAAAAATAGTTGCAACAGTGCATTGATAGAGAACTCCCAGATACTCAACCCGGACTCAGAAGAGGTCATGGAACTATTAACAGATATCATTGTTGATGCCAGATAGATCTTGGCTGAAAGCAGAGAATACCAGAGAGATGATTACTTGTGCTTTATTGATTATGCAAAGGCTTTTGACTGTGTTTGCTGTTATTGTTGTTAATGATCCCAAACAGGATTTCTGAGGAGTGGCAGGTGAGTTTGAATAGCCAGTCTTGCAGTTCAAACTGACCTTGTGGTCTAGCATTAATCCTAAAGCACCACACCAGGTCTCCTTTAACAGGTAGATCATGACAAACTATGAATAATATTGCAAAGAATGGGTATACCAGAACACTTAATTGTGCTCATGAGGAACCTGTACATATACCAAGAAGCAGTTGTTCAAACAGAATAACAGGATATTGAATGGTTTAAAATCAGGAAAGGTGTATGTCAGGGTTGTATTTTACCATACTCATTCAATCTGTATGCTGAGCAAATAATCTGAGAATCTGGATTATATGAAGAACATGGCATTAGGACCGAAGGAAGACTATAATATTCAAGTGATACAACCTTGCTTGCTGAAAGGATACAAGAGTGAAGTTGTCAGAGACTTCATTTTGCTTGTATCCACAATCAACACTCAGGAAGCAGCAGTCAAAAAATCAAATAACATATAGCATTAGGCAGATCTGTGGCACAAAACTTCTTTAAAGTGTTCAAGAACAAAGGTATTAGTTTGAGGACTAAGGTGCACCTGCCCCAAGACATGGTATTTTCAATAACTTCATATGCATGTGTAGGATGAACAATGAATAAAGAAGACTGGAGAAGAATCAAGGTGTTTTTCTTTGTCACTGAGTAGTGGCCCATTTTATATATTATGTACCACATTTTACTTACTCATTCATCTGTTGATGGACATTCATATTGTTTCCATATTTTTACTATTGTGAATAATGTGATGAACATAGGTGTGTGTATGTCTACTCATTTCACTTCTTATTAGATCCTTAAGTTTATTCTTAGGAATGGAATTGCTGGGTCATGTGGCAGCTCTCTCTCTATTTTTGAGGAATTGCCAGACTATTTCCCACAGCAACTGTACCATTTTACTTTCCTACCAACAATGGATGACAGTTCAATTTCTCCATGTTCCCTCCAACAGTTGTTATTTCCTGGTAATTTTTAAAAAATTCTTGGACATCTTAGTGGGAGTGAAATGATACCTTATTGTTATTAAGTTACAGAAGAGTTTTTGTTTTTTTAAAATGTATAATACAACCTGTGAAAGCCAGAACTTTTGGGGACTGCTTTGTTTTGGGGTGGGGTGGAAGGGTCTCACAAGTTTTCAGCCATTGACAGGGTGTAACCTTATCATTTAAAAAATTATTTTCTACTATTGGAAAATAATTTAGTTTACCTTCCCTGACAGGTTTTTGCCTTACACATCTTCCAGCTTTTGCAGGCTGTACTGTATTTTATATATCATACCTTTATCAGTTATATTGTTCCCAAAAGTTCATAATTTCTCTACTGGTTTGAGGTACTACTTGTATCATATAGCACCATTTTTTTGTCACAGAAATCAAAGTTAAGACTAATCATAACCTATAAGAAATGATGGCATGAGAATTATTGCATTGTATGTGCTAGAGGACCTAGTTGGTTTTAGTCCCTTTTTTTGTAGAGACCAAATTCTGGTACTTTGCATTGGCTGCATGTTCCATTGACATGGTGGAAACGGGTATGGGGCTTAAATTTTGTTCAAATAGTATTACCAATTATTTATTGGAGAAACTGTTCATCTGATTCACCAGTTGCTTTAATTATCACGATCTGGTAACAATGACTCAAATGTTTTTGTAATGAGATGTTTCTGAGTTTCAAAATTAAGCAAATAAGAAAGACTATATCATAAAAAAATTGCAAAATTAATGTTATAGTAACAAATTTAAGATAATGCTCATTACAATTTACCTCCTATTCTAAAGTATTTTTCTTAATGTTTCCTGCTGAAAATAACATTATCAAAATGTTTGCAGCAGACCACATTGGTCTAATGATAAGGGAAAGTTGGGGAAAAGCAGCAATGAAGATGTGGTCTGAGTCCAACCACGTTCAATAAACTCCCATCAACCTGGAGTGAGACCTGGTTGGCCAGCAGTATGGTGAGACCTGGGGACTCCTGAGCCCATGGACAGGGACATAGTCACAGAGAGCTAGAGTGAAAAGTGAAACATCCAGCTGATACGAAGTGAGGTGAGACACACAAGAATGCCCACACTTGCAGATAGTACCCATTTGACCTAGCTTCAATGGTTGGATGATCAGAACTCAATTAGAGGAAGAAAGAAGAGGGGAAAAAAATGTAATTCATTACAATTTGATGAACTTGACCTATACTTATGGATGTAGTAGCTTAAAAGAGGGAACAGATCTTAAAACAAGGATCATTCCCAACACCTCTGTACACAGGGTTGACAAGGATGGGCAACTTAGACATTGGCTACCCAAAATGGGGAGCTATAAAGGCATGAAGTGACTGGCTTACAAGTTTTCAAGAGGGAGTTTAGTTTCAGAGGATGTGGGGGGAGGTAGACTCTCCACTGAGTGGTTGTTAACCTATCTAGATGGAGCTGGTGAAAGGAAATGGGGTTGTGGTTCAATAGTGAATAATTGTTATCAGGACTGATTGCAATTTTTGCAAATGTAAAGCTAGATGTTTTGTAACAAAAAGAGGAGAGTGGTTGATCTTGCAGTCCAGGAGCGAAGGACCCTGGGACTATCAAGGGAGATGAGAGAAGTGTGGAACCCTATCCAGAGAAGCAGCGATGCCAGAGATGATGTGGAGAGATGAAGCAACTAGGGACTCTAGACTCAAGGAGGAAGATAGGCTGTGTGCTGGTGGCCAGGGGGCAGGCTTGAAGGGTATGCCCTTTGGTTGTCTGAATGATTATACATCCCTAAGTACTTCGGTATACATCCAAAAAAACACAAACAAACAAAAAAAAACACCATAGGGAATAGAAGCAAATGCCATTGAATGATGATACATGGAGGGGATTGTAGTCATTGCAATGAAATGAAATATGATAGGATGAGTGTAAAGCTGATGTTCTCCCATGTAAACTATCACTCGATTCACAATAAAAACTTTAAAAAGAGAGAGAGAAATGTTTGTAGCAGTAGGTATTAAGTTTCAAATTGTGAAATAAATGTTCACATTGACAGGGTATGGAAAAGACCAGCAATGTTGAGGAAATTGTCAGAGTTTTTGAGCCCTGCTAGTATAGAGGGGCTCTGGTAACGTAGTGGTTATGAAACGGGTTGCTAATCTCATGGTCAGCAGTTCGAAACTACCAGCTGTTCCACGGGAGAAAGATTTCTGCTCCCATAAAGATTTATAACCTCAGAAACACTGTACAGGATCACTATAAGTCGGAACCGACTCCACAGCACATAATAACAACAACAGTATAGAGTCTTGGTGAGGTACTGTGGGTTAATGCACTGGACTGCAAAGTCAGTTTGAACCACAAGATGTGTGATTCAAGCTCACCAGCCGCTCCTTGGAAATACTATATAGGGTCACTATGGGTCAGAACCAACTCAATGGCACTTACCAACAACAAGTATAGAGTAAAGGAGTCCTGGTATGGTGCTATGGGCTAATGAACTAGACTGCAAGGTGGTTTGAACTGCAGGTTGGTGGTTCAAGTTCACAGTTGCTCCTCGGAAACCCTATGCAGAGTCGCTATGGGTTTGAACAGACTCAATGGCACTTAACAACAACAAATATAGAATAAAAGTAGCCCTGGTAGCATAGTGGATTACGAGCTGGCCTGCTAACCACAAGGTCAGTATTTTGAGTCTACCAGCCACACCATGGAAGAAAGATAAGACTTACTGCTTCTGTAAATATTTACAGCCTCAGAATTCCTATCTAGGGTTGCTATGAATCCAAACTGACTCACTGACACACAACCACCTAATTGCACCTATAGCACAAAGGAGTTCAGGTAGGTTAGTGGTTACCAGTCAGGCTGCTAACCACAAGGTCAGTAGTTCAAAACTACCAGCTACTCTTTGGGAGAAAGATGAGGCTTTCTGCTCCAGTAAAGATTTACAGCCTCAGTAACCCTATGTTGTTGTTGTTGAGTACCGTGGAGTCAATTCTGACTCATAGTGACCCTGCACAGGATTTCCAAGGCTGCAAATCTTTACAGGAGCAGAAAGCCTCATCTTTCTCCCGCAGAACAGCTGATAGTTTCGAACTGCAGACCTTGAGGTTAGCAGCCTGTTTCATAACCACTACGCTACCAGAGCTCCTTAGTAACCCTATACATGGTTGCTATGAGTCAGAAATGATTCCATGACACATAACACTACCACTATAGGGCAAAGGCAACAGGGTAGAACCATGCAGCATGTATGACAGTTGTTTCAGTTGAAGTTTCAAAGTAGGTTCTTCCCTCTGTATAACAATTTTAAATGGAATGTTTGTTTTCAGATATTTCTAGTCACCTTTAACATTCTGTTGGAATACTATAATAAAATGTAATGATATAAAAAAAAAAAAAAAGACCAGGCTTGCTGCTTGTGCAGACGCTGGTGGACCCCCCTGAGACTATGGACCTTATTCACCCTTCGTGGTTGGAAATGAACTTACCCCCCATGGCTCAATTTTCATCTAAACAATAGGCAAGTCTGTAAGGGGAGCAATAACACTAGTGAGGTATGCACATCTTCATTTGAGATCAAAAGATTAGCAATTAGGCAAGGATAAAGTCCAGCAGGGTTAAGAAAGAAGGAGGAATGGAAACAGAAAACACAGGGAAGAAGTGGAATATGTGATGCTGCATTCTGGGAATTGCAATCAGTGAGATGAAACACAATGTGTATGAACTGTTGAATGGAAAATTGATTGGCTCGGTAATCTGTCACCTACTTCACAGTAAAAAGTTTAAAAACAAAACAAAAACCTTGTGAGCAACCAGCCACTTAAGATATACCTATTGGTCTCTCCCTGTTGGGAGCAAAGAAGAGTAAAGAAAATCAAAGCCACATGGAAACAATTAGAACACAGTACTAATGGACTACATGAGCCTCAGCCTTGGGAGTCAGTTCCAACTCATTCACAACCCAACACCTTGGGATACAAAGAGCTAGATGGTACATGGCTACCACTGCTTATCAGTCTGAAAGGGATCCTGGTTAGAGTGCGAGAAAAAAGTGGTGCAAAACTCAAAATAATAATAATAAAAAAGACCACATTTACTGGTCTAAGGGAAACTGGTAGAACTTTCTAGACTATGGTCCTTGTTCACTTTTCAGGACTGGAACTGAATTTGCCCCATGGTTCAACTTAAAGTCAAACAATGTTGTTTTTGGTACCATTGAGTCAGTTCCAACTCATTCACAACTCATTCACCTTATTCACAACAGAACAAAACATCACCCAGTCCTGCACCACCCTCACAATTGTTAAGCTTGAGCCCATTGCTGTTGCCACTGTGCCAATCCATCTCATTGGGGATATTACTCTTTTTTGCTTACCCTCCATTTTACCTAGCATGATGTCCTTCTCCAGGGAATGGTCCCTCCTGATAATACGTCCAAAGTATGAGAGATGAAGTCTCACCATCCTGGCTTCTAAGGAGTATTCTGGCTGTACTTCTTCTAATATAGATTTGTTTGTTCTTCTAGCAGCCCATGGTACTTTTAATATTCTTCTCCAACACCATAACTCAAAGGCATTGATTCTTCTATGGTCTTCCTTATATATTGTTCAACTTTCACATGCATATGAACCTTTTGAAAATACCATAGGTTGGGCCAGGCACACCTTAGTCCTTAAACTGATATCTTTGCTCTTGAACACTTTAAAGAGGTCTTATGCAGCAGATTTGCCTAATGCCATGCATCATTTGATTTCTTGACTGCTGTGTTCATAAGTGTTGATTGTAGATCCAAGAAAAATGAAGTCTTTGACATCTTCAATCTTGTCTCCATTTATCATATTATTTATTGGTACAGTGGTGAAGGCTTTTGTTTTATTTACACTGAGATGCAATCCATACTGAAGGCTGTGGTGTTTGATCTTCATCAGTAAGTATTTTAAGTCCTCTTTGCTTCCAGAAAACAAGGTTGTATCATCTGCATATTGTGGTTATTAATGAGTATTCCTTCAGTCCTGATGCCATGTTCTTCTTCATATAATCCAGTTCTCTGACTACTTGTTCATTAGATTGAATAAGTATGGTGAAAGAATACAACCCTGGTGCACATCTTTCCTGATTTTAAGACATTAATATCACATTCAAGTAAAATTTGATTTATATGTGTTCCATCTGATGGGGTACCTTTTATGTTTTTTACAAAGGTATTTTCAATAAATAAGTCATTGGTCTTGCAAAATTCTATCAGGTGATCTCCAGCATTGTTTCTATCACCAAGGCTGTATTTTCCAACTACTGATACTTCCTCTTTGTTTCCAACCATTCAGTGTCCACTTGTCAAACAATAGGGTGAACAATACACCTGGAAGGTATTCACGCCTTAAAACTATTGGTGGTGGTGGTGTGCTTCTGAGTCGGTTCTGACTCATAATGACCCTGTATAGGGTTTTGGAGGCTGTAAATCTTTACAGGAGCAGAAAGCCTCATCTTTCTCCCACTGAACAACTGATAGATTTGAACTGCTGACCTTGCAGTTAGCAGCCTAGTCATAATCTACTAAGCTGCCAGGGTTCCTTTTAGAATTATTAGCCACACAAAATCAAAAGTACAGCAACTGGAAAAACCTCAGAAGTCAGGAATGGATAGGAAAGAAGTACAAATAAAAACAGCACAGTTAGGAAGTAGGAAGAGTGCTGTTCCATTGTGGGGATTGTAATCAATGTCATGAAACTAAACATGGATGAACTGTTGAATGGAAAACCAATTTGCTCTGTAAACCTTTACTCAAATCACAGTAAAAAGGAAAAAAAAAAGTAATGATGGCGATAACCTATTCTTGACTAGAACAGATGACGGAAAGATTGTTCTAGCACAGAATAGGTTTGCTGTATAAACTTATAGCTGTAATAAAACCCATCTTGACCACTGGATCAGGTCCACTGGATCATCATGAACTTCTTCAAAGCAAAGGACTGGGAAATTTTTTTATGGAAGTGAAGGATGTTTGTTTTCTCTCTTTCAACCAAAGAGTCAACTTAGCAATGGATCTTAGACCCTGGGCAGGATGGAATCTTGAAAGTATAGAAGAATATAAATCCCTTTCTTAAACTAGTTCACTTCTCAAAGCAGTTTATCTATGCACCTTTATTGCAGAAGTATTATAAATCCCACAATAAATAGCAATGTATTTAATCTAAATACTGTAATGTTAGCTTTTAAAATCAAATTCTAAAGAAAAGCACAAACTCTCCTTCCAGGAAGAATAGACAGTCAACTGGTAGATGTAGGGAACAGTCTGTTAAAAAATAGATGCTGTCCCCTTCCACCGGCTGTGTCTATGAGAAATACAGGGAAGAAGGTCTAGGTAATAAATCAGTGAACTTCAATAACATGAAGTTTATTTAACAGAACCTGTCACCAAGGCATATGTTATTTCAAATACTACTATTTGAAGTCAACTGCCTCAAAAGATTTTTTGTGGAGTGGGGATGGTCTTATTACACCATAATCAAATGCTTAGTTCCTTATTGAAAAGAAGATGCCTATTTTAAAAAAGCTTACTCTCTCTTTTCTCTAGAAGGTTCTCAAAATACGCTGCTGCAAAAGCTGGTATATTGTCCGGTTGCTCTCTCAGAATCTCGCGTGTCAGACCTTCAAGAAGATTCCCAAATCCTTGTGGAATTCGGTAATGGGTGTTGGAGAATGGAATCGACATCTCCTTGGAAGGAAGTGTCTATTGTACCTAGAGATTCATTAAACAGCACTGTCTTTAAATATGTATGAATTTACTTATATAATCACAATAATGACAAATTATGTTGTAGGCCCAAATTTTGTAGACTTCAATTCTTTTTTTTCCAACATAAATTCATCCATTTATTCCAAGTTTTAAAAAGGTTCTGTTAATTAGAGCATTACAAATACAAACCCACTTAGGCTAAATGCTTTAAAATATATATAAGAAAATTACTGAGTTTTTACTAAATACTTTTTCACTGTCCCTTGGTCTTTTTGCTGGAGAAGGGAATTTTTGCCATCTCATGGGGAATTTAGAAATAATGGTGATTGATTAAAAAACTAACTTTAATTGAATTCATAAATTGCTAAGGAGATCCTGTTTACGAAATTAGCAGATGGCTGTCTAAAACAAACACATCATTTTTTTAAAAGAAGAAAGTAGTCCTGGTTCTAGAAATTCCTCTAAACTTACTGAATGAATAAATTTCACATGTAATCTTTTCCTTAGCTTCCATTTCTAAAGCAAGATTTAGAATACCACTAAAGACCTATTTATTAAGAAATGGACCAGACATTAAGTCCATGATTTTCAAAGCCTGTTTCCAGTTTGGGGGCCTTTTATTTTTTGGCCATGTCTTGACCATATAACAACTAGATTCAGGGTAATTATGAAACAAAGAGTTTAGGCTACAAAGTATGAAAAGGACAGGTAAGGAGGGACCTGGTCTGCTTGTGAGTGAATGTCAATGAGGAATAAAAAATGGAAGTCCAGTCTGTGGAAGGAGTTTCCTTTTCTATTTGAGGGACAGGAGATGAGGTTTTGAATCAGTGTAAAGGATTGGTGAGACCCGAACAAATCTGCGCAGTGGAAGGTGGAGGACCGGAATGAAAGGAAAGACACAGGCTAGTCGCGGGCCGGACGTTAATGACCTAACATTTCAGACTCTCACAGAATAAGGCTGCCTTTGATGCTAATCTGTACCAGGATTCTTGGGGTATATAGGATATACTTGGAGAACACATAGACAATAAGAGAGGTCTTGGTTTTGGAAAGAAAATGGGTAAGCCACCTCACCTCTTTTATCTCTTAGAGCTGGGGTCGATGGTTCCAATTACTTTTTCCTCGTTGCTGGGTAACCGTTTGTTGTTGGGGTTTTTTTTTTTTTATATATAACTACGGTGGCCGAGAGGGTAAGAGGCAGGGCTTCGCTCTTTAGTCGCAGAGATTCAAAAGCCGCGAGGGGTGGAGTCCTTCGCCCTTACAGGCACCTCCCACCCTCCCCACACCCCCTCCCCCACAACTCCACCCAACCCCCGCGCGCTTCGCTTCCACTTCTACAGTCCCACGTATTGGGCTGGTGACGAGCCGGGTCAAAACCGCACCGAGAATGGCATTTGGTCTAGTGATGCCTTCAATCTTGCGGATCAGCACAAGTGCAGATGAGGCGACTGGGCCAGACTCCTGCCTCTCGAAATGCAGCATTTTCTTTAGGTCCCAGACCCATGACCCCCTCTTAGATCAGGGAAGGAAACTGGGCCAGACACCTCGATCTGCGGCCCTGACTTAGGCTGCAGTGTCTTCTGGGCCAGAGCTGACTTTTGTTTTCTCCACTCATTACCTCTTTTCCATTCCCTTCCCCTACTTTATAGGATAGGAGCTCTGGTAGCGTAGTGTTTGCAAACTGCAAAGTCAGCAGTTTGAAACTACCAGCTGCTCCGCGGGAGAAAGATGAGGCGTTCTGCTCCCGTAAATGATTGGTTGTTGTTGTTGTTAAGTGCTATCGAGTCGGTTCCGACCCATAGCGACCCTGTACAGGGTTTCCGAGGTTGTAAATCTTTACGGGAGCAGAAAGCCTCATCTTTCTCCCGCGGGGTGCCTGGTAGTCTCAAACTGCTGACCTTGCGGTTCACAGCCCGATTCGTAACCACTACGCTACCAGAGCCTTAGAAACCCTGTGCAGGGCAGGGTCGCTATGAGTCGGAACCGAGCACACAGCCACCAGCCATCACCACCTTATAGGATACCTTCTTTTTCCTGGAGTGTGTCGAAAGCAGATGGAGAGTTGTCGATTGATCTGAGTGTGTAGCCAAAATGTGCACAGACCAAGGACCTCAGAGTCTTTCAGTATCTGCATGGGAACTGAGAGGGGTAGGGGAAAAGCTAGTTAGATATTTGGAAACAGGCTGAGTCATCCAAAGCATTTAAGTGCTTTAGCCTGGGCTCCTTGTTGGAACCGTGGAGTCGGTTCTAATTCATAGTGACCCTACACAGGGTTTCCGAGGCTGTAAAGCTTTATGGGAGCAGAACGCCTCAACTTTCTCCCACAGTAGTTTTGAACTGCTGAGCTAGAGGTTGGCAGCCAGACTCGTAACCACTACGCTACCAGAGTTCAGTGACTAGTCAAGTGGCATGGGTGGCGCTGTGGATTAATGATCTGGACTGCAAAATTGGTTTGAAGGTCGTCAGTTCAAGCACACTAGGTGCTCCTCCGAAACCCTACACAGGGTCTCTCTGGGTCAGAACCCACTCGACTGCACTTAACAAGAAGTGGTGTTGAGGGCTGAGAGTCAGAACTGATTCCAGGGCACTACAACAACAACAGGGCTGAGAAACGCAACCCTCTCACTGGGTCAGAATATTTAAGGTTCAGCTTTGATTTCTAATGCATTTACAGATGTTGTTGTTCATTGTGGTCTAGTCGGTTCTGCCTCATAGCAACCCTATATAGCGTTCCAAGGAGCGGCTGGTGAGTCGAACCGCTGACCTTGTGATTTGAATCGCTTATACTACAGTGCCACAGCAGAATTCCGGATGTTGGAGGTGGAAAAATTTGTGTGGCATTGGAGAGGAGGCTGAGTGGCATGGGGCTATTGTTTGGGTCAGATACTGTTATTTGAATACCCTTCTCCTCACAGTAGAACAAGTGTGTGGCCTGCATGAAGAAGTCAGAAGATAGAATTTGTCTTCTTATGCATAGTAGTGATAATACTAGACTCACCCCACCCCACCCCAGACCACTCAGAGTGGATTCCAAAAAAATGAAAGTTGAGATAAGAAAATGGAATGCAGAAAAAAATGACTTGCTAGAAACTTACCCATCCCCAAGTACCTAGACTCAGAGAAGCTGCAGTCCTTCAGCTGTTTTTTCAGGGAGTGCTAACTAGCAGCACTCCTCAAACCGTTAATTCCCTGACCATCATACAACTATGCAGTGATTTTTGAGGTCCATTATATCAAGTAATGAGTCCTGGTGTGGCGATATGGGTTAATGCACAAGGTCGGTTTGAACGGCGTGGTCTGTGGTACAAGCTCACCAGTCGCTCATCAGAAACCCTATACAGGGTCGCTATGAGTCCGAATTGATACGACAACACTTAAAAACATGTGAAGTAAGCACTGGACTGCGAACCACACGGTTCACGGTCCAAGCCCACTGGCTGCTCCGTGAGAGAAAGATGAGGCTTCCTTGCTCCCGCGAAGATTTAAAAAAACCTCAGAAACTTTATACAAGATTTCAATGAATCCTATGCGATGATACTTTAACAACAACAACTTTTGAAGCAAGGAGAAGATAGAGTAGGCACATGCTAGTTTTTCTGTTGAAGGTTGTTGATCTCCTTTTGGTCCTATTGTTCACCTTCATTAACATCGACTATATTTTCCATTCATTGATGCTCCAAAGTTTTCTCCCTTCGTTTTTGGTTGTATCTGCGGATATCAAATAATTTTCTCTGTGCCCATTTTTTTCATGTAGTATTTGACATGTACAAAAGTATATGTTATAATTAAACAGTAAGATGAATGAATATATCACCCAATTTAGGAACTGGACATTGCCTACGTCATTGAGCTCACCCCCTAGCTTCTCACTAGAGGTAAACACTGTCATAATTTCATCAATTCACTTTTTTTTTAAAATGTTTTATTGTGAATTATATGATAGTTTACATGGGGGAACTTCAGTTTTACATTCATTCCATCGTATATCATCTCACTGCCATGGTTCCAATTCCCTCCATGCATCCTCAACCACCCAAAGGGTATATTCCAGAAACCCGCCCCCTACACTTCCCTCTCCTCCCCCCAGTTTTCAGCCCACAGTCCCTTTCCCTCTCTGGGTCCAAAGTCCCCAGTTGCTTCATCACTCCATGTCATCATCACTGTCTCCATCTCAGGCATCTCTGTTTCTCTGGGCAGGGTCCCGCCCTCGGTTCTTCTCTGTTGATGGTCCCAGAGGCCTCCGCTGCTATCCTGGAGAATTAATCATTCCCTTCCTTGTTACAAAACTTCCACCTCTGCATTTCCAACCCTCATAATCTGTCCCGATAAGCATTATTCACTACAGTATCACGGGTTACCCATCTACATCTCCTTTCATCCGCTCCGCCCAGACAGATTGAATAGTGCCTACTGGAGCTTCTGCCTTCTGCCATGCTCCCTAGCACCAGGTTCCCTCTTGAAAGCTTGTAAGCCAGTCACTTTTTGCCTTTGTAGTCCCCCCCTCCCAATTTGAGTATCCAATATCCAAGCTGCCCTTCTCAGTCCACTCTGTGTCTGTGTATGTGGGTGTGTGTGAATGTTTCTTGCTGTGAGGATTTGTTCCCTCTCCTGAGTCACTGCTCCATAGGTATAGGTCAAGATCATCAGACCGTATCAGCTCACTCTTTTTTTCTTCTTCTTCTTCTTTCTTTTTCCCCTCTTCTTTCCTCTCCTGGTTAAGCTCCAATCATCCAGTCATCTGGTCCAGGTCACGTTGGTATCATCTGCAAGTTTGGGCGCTTCTGTGCATATGTCCTCTCTTCCCGTCAGCCAGTAGCTCCACACTCCTCTTCGAGTCCTCCATGGCCACGCCACTGACTCTGGACCCAAGAGACCCCAGGCCTCTTCGCACTGTTTGCCAACCAGGTCCCCAACTGGGTCCACAGAACTCCACTGAACATTGTAGGGCTTAGCTTGCCACTTCATTGCTGCTTTTACCCCACTTCTCCCCATCGGTGATGTGT